TTAAAATGCAATCTTTGTAGTTATTTATTTAAACTTAAAAATTAACATTTATTTGGTCATTTTAAATCATAATTGCATCATGTGTAAATATTTTAAAATATTGAAAAATATTTTTCACATAGTTTTAATTGTAATTTAAGTGCAGATGTTAAAAATATATTGGATATTTTTAATTTTGAAAAATAGATAAAACAATTATTGAACAAACAAATCAATCCTAAAATTAAGCAGGGGTTAAAATATTAGATTTTATTGTTATTTGGTTATTTTAAAAAGCTTAAAATTAATATTGTTGGATTAAATAGATTTTGTTAGGATTAAATAGATTTTGTAATGAATTAAATAAAAATCATAGGTTTTAAATATTCTAGTGGCATATCTGTAAGTATTGTAGATTTTGATCCGCTCTTTGAAAGCGCGGGATTACGTTTTTGTTAATAAAACTATTAATCCGTTTGTTAGTTTATAATAAAAATGACAAATATATTAGTTTAACCTGTTTATACTTGATAAATATTTTGTGACCTAAAGCAAATGACCATATTAAAGAAATTTTAGCTTATTCCCATATATATATATATATATATATATATATATCAAAATGAATTTTTGACCCGTATACAATGCAGAAATGATAATGATAATTGTAGTTAATATGGTATGTAAAAAATAATGATTTGGAATGTATAAATAAAATAATATCTTTTTTCTACTTAATTTTATTTCAAATTAAAAGATACTATTCATTTAAATCAATATGAATTGTTACAATTTTGAAATACCCGCATAATCCGAACAATATTCATTTTATTAAATTTTTAGTTTTACATCACCAAGCATGATATTTTTTTAAATAAATATTATAAAATCCATATGTCTACCTAGTAAGACTTCTTAATGGTAGATAAAAATGGTACTTCTCTTTTAACAGAGAAGATCTTGGACTACTAAACTAATGTGTGTGTTGTTTTAGCATTCCCGCTTTTATTTCCTCTGCATTTTAGGGCTGTGCTTTCTTCTTTAGCTCTCTAGGTTTCTTCTGAACTAATCTGGGTAAGCTTTTTCTATGGAAAAGTCTCTGTTTTTATATCTTGATTTTACATTTCCTTATAGGTAATGTTCTCCATTTCATAGCTGCGTGACCGATAAAGAAACTTTCTAGGCACAATTTTCTCTGGAAATGTTCTTTCTTTTTCATCTCTCAGTTTACTATTCGTGGGTTCAGAAATTGCTGTAAACCCTTTTGAGAGAAGATGGAAAATTATGTTGAGCTCTGTGAACGAATCTGGATTTAGGGTTTCTAAGTAATTTCTGTATAAAAGAAAAAAGGAGTAAGCTTTTGTTTGTGTTTGTGTTTGTTCCAGGTTAAGGTTTCAAAGTCATGACCGGAACCTCAGACAAATCGGGTAAGAAGAACAAAGGCTTGCCTTTGGGTACTGTGAAGGATGAATTCGCTTCTTCCTCCAAGTCCAAGGGAAACACTTGTTTGAAGATAGAGCACGAAATCCTCAAGGAGAATCACGAGACTCTGAAGATAGATTACGCGAGTCTACAGAAAAGGGTTAAGCTTTCAGAGGAAACTTATGAGGTCATGAAGAAGCTTCTTCAGAGCAAAACCCAGGGACTCGAGGTGAAGAGCACCAGCTTGGAGGAGGATTGTGTGAGAGTGAGAAGCGAGAGGGATAAGTATAAGAAAATGTTTGAGGAGATGAAGACTGTGGAGAGTGATAGGAAGGCCAAGATTGATGAGCTGAGGAAGAGAGAAGAGGAGCTTTTGTTGGCGACAAGGAGAGGCAAGGAAGATGCTGAGAAACTGAAGAACAAGTTTGTTGCTTTAGCTGAGAGATTTGGTGTGATTGAGGCAGATTGTTCATACTTGAAAGCGCTCTATGATGCTGAAGTAGCAGCTACAGGGCTTGGAGGGACTGTCAATCTCATCGCTCATCATCAAGGGAACAACGATGCTACAGGTATATGTGTTTGTGTATGTGTCAGAGTGTTTTGACTTGAGCTATATCTTAAGAAGACATTTTTTTGCTTTGTATCTATCTTTTGTGTGCAGACTCAACAATGATAACTGATGAGCACAATGATCCTCCAAGAGAGACTAACATAAGCACTCAACGGTCTTTTGACAGAAGGAGCCAAGAAGACCAATGCAAGAACCAAGAAATCTCCACTCCCAGAGCTGTTACTAATCATTTACTGCCTTTCTCTGCTTCACCATCATCATCATCTTCCTCTTCCTCTTCAGATGGCTATGATGTTGTGCTTAAGCGTCCAGCTAACTGGCCCGAGTGGGCAATGCCTAAAGGTCCTGGTGATGGTTCCAACAAGTCTTAGAAGAAGTGAGTTTGAAGTTGCAGACTCTTCAAGGGCAACTTCTTATTACATTTATATAATATCTCTTTTGAGGAACTACTGTTAAATCACTTCCAAGTCAGTTTATATTCGTAAGTCATTAGTATGTCAGAAACTACAGTTGGTGACGAATTTTAAAGCTAATCAAGAGAGATCACAAACTGTTTTGTGCTTGATAAATGGGGCATTACCTTAAACATAGTTACACCTCAATTCTAGCTGATATAGTACAAAATGTATCTTACTAATGCTCTTTGCTGAGTATAATAACCACAGTAATACACTCCTGATTTAAGACGCCATTAACATTGCAAAGTATCTTCTCGTTTACATATGGATGAGTTTTTTTTTTCTGCTGGAATACATGAAAACTATTGTAAACTCATACATCAACACAAATTGCTTTTGTTCTATGTAAATTATGTCGAATCATAAGAAATAAACTGGGGCTCCATCCCAATTGCATTCATGAGGTTTAGTTTCTGGAACTGCTGGCGTTGAGGTTCTGAAAGAGCTCGGGAAGATGTGCGTTGGTGAGTTTGGTTCTCTTGCTGATCTCTTGTTTCTTCTTCTTCTGCTTGGGTTTATTAGATACGCCTTGGATCTGTGCAGCAGCTCTCCTCTGCGCAGTGTTCATCACAGGCTTCAAACCAATCTTCTGCAGCTCCTTCTCCACATCAAGAAGGTCGCTGGGAATGTCTATGTCACGGAACAGAGATTTGAACTCGTCATCAACCTCAATCTGTCCCTTGAAGTCGTTTGGGTACGCAATGTCCTCTTGTGAATCCGCGTTTGAGAGGAACCATATGTGTTTTGAAGCTTTCAAAGCCTGCACAAACACACACAATCTTGAAAACTAAACTACTGGTCTTGGTTTCAAGAACCAAAAAGCATACCTGTAGATCATCCATGACATTAGGGTAAGCGTCTTTGAGATCTACAGCCGCAATCCCAGCAGGGTATTTCTTTATCAGGGAGAGAAGCTGGTTCTTGTCTTTGACATCATGCTTAGCCTGTGACAACAGAAGGATTGTGAGAGAAACACATGATACTTTCCAAAGAGTAAGTAATGAATGAAACCACCTTACCTTGTAAGAGAACCTCCTTCCATCATAATAAACTTTGGGATTGTTCCTGAGACTATCAAAGACAGCTTTATTGGAAAGCATATCAACATAACAGCGTTCGTTAATCTGCTCCGGTGTAAAGGCTTGCCTTGTCTACAAGAAAGAACACAATCTCAAGTCTCCACCTATATATATATGAATGATATACAAAGAAAGGAAGGAAAGAAAGAAACCTCAAAGAGAAGCTCAATGACACGCTTGATTTGAGCACCAACAGGACCTTTCCTGATGCTGTTGATAAACTGAAGGCGCTCGGTGTCGTTAGAGAATTTGACAGGAGGAGTAGGCTTGAGGCTGGTGGCAGCAGGGACAGAGGGGGAGGGTCTGGAAGGAGCTGCTCGGGAAGCATTGATGCTGGAGAGAGTGGATTGGCATCGTTCTTGCTGTTTATTGAACCTGTCTAGCTGTGCCTTTAGATCCATAAATCTGAATAAAAAAAAAGTGTTTACAGACAGAACACAAACAATTAACCAACCGAAGAAACTCAAAGTAGACTCAGTAACCAAGTAAAGCTGTCTGATTTGTATCAAACGAAAACGGGAAATCAAATCATTTGATCGAAAAGGTGATGACTTTTAATCAATAGAAGTAGAATTGATACGCCCCGAAACGGGAAAAATTAGGTTTTCGAGACTCGATCCGATTTTTGCAATAACCAGGGTTCCAGAAGCTGAAGATGAGAATTAATCCATCGGATCTGATTAGGGATTCGATACAAACCTTTGGAGGAGAGAAGAATCAAAGAAGGGATTAGAAAGTAGAAACGGAACCAGATAAAGGATGATATGATATTGGAGTTTTTTGGTTTGTCAAATTGAGAGAGAGAACGGGGGTGCTGGTCTCTCCTTGATTTTGATTACCCCCATCAGACGTTTTGTTATTATTAAACGAATTAAAAAACATATGTGCACAAAAGAAAGAGAAATTGCCAAAAATAACACTTTCAAGATACCACTTTTCAACTTTACACTAACTAATTTTATCATTAAAATTTTAATACTCAAAATACTATTAGAATTTAGGGTTTGGGGTTTTGGGTTTAGGATTGATAGTTTAAGGTTTAGTGTTGATTTTTTAGGGTTTAGGGTTTACTTTTTAGGGTTTAGAGTTTAGGGTTTAAGTTTTAGAATTGATATTTTAGGGTTTAGGGTTGATTTTTAGGGTTTAAGGTTTACTTTTTAGGGTCTAGAGTTTAGAGTTGATGTGTTTAGGGTTTAGGGTTAATATTTTATTTAATATTTATTTTATGTAAATATATAAAAAACAAGGATATAAGAGTTTTTTATCCTTTAATAAAATGTGTATTTTTGAAAATGTTTCTTTGTTGATGGTAAACATGAAAAATAGAACCACCAAAGTGGTATAATTCTCCCCAAAAGAAACCGATAATAAAAAATATATACTCCCCATTTTTCTTTTCTTTTTCTTTTAAATTTCAGGAAAATTTGTTCCCAAATCAAACAAAAAACTTAAAATTCATTAAACTATCTAAAACTACATTTTCTCTATTCCTATTTTTCTCTAACTTCATTCTACAAATCTAATTATCACATTTAATTGGCAAATAAGCCCATTTAATTTGTCTCAAGTCATCGTTCGTATGTTCCTTATCGGGGTGGTCAATCCGATAAAACTAAACCAATTAAAACTGAACTGAACTAAAATAGAGAAAATCATTTAGATTTGGTAATATCAAATAAAATAAATATAAGTTATTTTAAAAAATCGTAGTATATGGGTACGGTCTGGTATATAAACCGATCAAACTGAATAAACAAAAAAATAGATTAAATAAATATATTAGTATACTTATATTCACATTTTATAATAACTTAATAATATATAAGATGATGTATTTATTAATATGATATTTATATTTAAAGCACTGATTTTCTTAATTTTGTGTTTGTTCTAATTTTCAAAAGTTCTCATTTTCATCAAATTAAATATAAAACTTTTTGTAGTAACTATTTGTGCTAAAGTTTAGTTATTTAATAATATTATGATATGAATATTTTTATTTTTAGTAGTAAAAATAAAAAGATATTCTACTTAAAAATTAGAGTTTGTCTCCGTCAAATTCATCATCCTATTCTTCCTGATCACACTATTCAGAAAACTTCTACATATTAAAAAATTTACATTGAGACACTATTTTTCTCCAAAAATAGAGAAATTTTTGCAGCAATGGATTTTTTCTAGAGTAAAACATTGAAGCAAACGTTACTCAATAATAGAATTTATCTAACGAAAACCTTTATTTATACTAAATCATTAGTATACTATATAATCTCAATTTTATGGTTGGAATTTTTTTGAATTTAATAGAATAGAACTACCAAATTTGTGAACCAATAATTTATGTATTTTATGACATAACTAGATTTTATCCACGATTTTAAAGAACAAGACTACTTTTTTTTTTTACAAATTTATGTAATAATGATTATACTTCTATAATCTATGTATTTTAAGTTTTATATAATTTTATTTAGATTTGTATACATTTTAGTTTTAAAAGTTACAATTTGATAATTTTTTGATAAATGTCAATTTAAAATTAGATTAAATAATTTATGAAATGTCATTTTTAGTTTTATTACTTGTGTAAAAATGTTAAGAACTTAATTATTGATGCAATTATAGTTTGTATTAAATAAATTTTCTAAACAATAATAATTATTCACTTAAAATATAGATCAAAATCTATTTTAAATCTAATTAACCAACAATAATTAATATCTTATATAATAAAGTTGGCTTTAGTCTCTTCACAATCATCCACCTCAGCACATACCATGGGGCAATTAAAGACACGTGTACCTATTCTTTTGCTGAGTTTATTTTGAATGGACTGAGTTTTTAAATGGGCTCTTAAACTTTTACTCATAATGGCCCAATAGAGCTACTTTGTCGTTGATCTTGGCGTTGCAGAAGAAATCATCGTGTCCCTTCAGATACAACGCCTCTAAACTACGCATGTGTAACGGCTGTAGTTATCAAATCATCTGCCACACTAAACCAAGAATTTACATGACTGTCACCACTTCCTCCACTCTCTTACATTCAATCGGCCTCAGCATTCTCCAAGGTAACGTATAGAAGCTCAGGTTCTTGCTACTAATACACTCGCCGAATCATCAGCAGGCGCATCACGGGATGGGTTTGCCAATCTTCATTTCATTGATATCGGCTTTGGTCCTCTCAGAGATTTTTACAACTCTCATGGAGTTTCGGAGAGATCTCAAAACGTCGACAGCCATGGTGAGTTTAGAGAATTATGACCCAGCTAATCGTATCTTTCCTTTGATCTTTTCTCTTTCATATGTTTGTTGTTATGACTACTTTTCCTGTATTCTTTGACTGGATCTCACTTTTTGTTCCAGTGGTCTTCCGACAAGCTCCATAACTTGACTTGGGTTTAGGTTTCTTCAAAGTGTAAGATCCAGAATAATTGATTTGCCGGGTTCCAGGTTATCAATATGCGTTTTTTATTTGTCTTCTGGTCTTTTTGTATTTGTCATGCAGAAAGCTTAGATCCATATGACTATTTGAGCATAAAGATCTGAAGACTAAAGAAATAATTAACGTAAGTCATCTTATATGTTCTTGCACTACGCATGGTTTGGCAACAAATCTGTTTCTAGCAGAGCTCCATAAGCATGGAGTATGTAATTCCTAGCTAGGTTTTCATGGTATATCAAGTTTGAATACAGAAACATTGTGACTGTCCCTCTAATTTAGTCATTAGAAAAGAAAAAGCAGATCTAAGCGAGAGTATATGATTGTGTTTTGGTCCTGCGTGAAAACGGCTTCGTTGTCGTAACGATCAACCTTCATCCCACCACTTCTGAACCGGCGGCGATTCTGCTTGCATTCAATCAATTAACGTTGTCGTTAATGCCATTCAACCACTCCTCCCACTACGCCACATTCAATACACCCTCCTTCCTCCATAGTTACAAATATAATTAAAGGCTTTCAGTTCACTGAGAATCATCACTTTCTCCCTCTCACGCATGAGAATAAGGATTAGAGGCAAAAGGATCATGATTCTGTGTAAGTCTTATTTCACAAGCCATTTAATTACTGGCATAAGTTTATTACTACTTGAATGACTTTGATGTCTTGCTGCTGTTGTTTCATGTCTATGTTAAGACTCAGGGCAGTATACTTATGGGTGATTAAAGAGAATTTGATCAATGTGATATCTTTTTCTTGCAAATACCGGATCTTGCTAAGAATTCACGGCTCAAAAATGGCTAAAGCATTTTTTACAAACAGTGGATCAGAGACCAATGATACACATGTTTTACGTTTCCCAAACTATGTGATCTTTGTTTGATCATCTATTTTCTAAGCTGTCTACCTATAATAATTTCTTATAAATCTCATGTATGTTTAATGCAGGTCAAGCTGGTTTGGTATTACAATAACACACCTAGAATGCCTGAGAAGAAGAAATTAAATAGTGAGAAAACGATGTTTTCTTGTCATTTTTGTATTTTCTGTTTTTATAAGATTTCAAATTGCTTATAAGTTCAGTGTTGCGACTTTCAGGTACCATGGCTCCACTTTAATATCAGCAAGTTTGTCCGGGCAGGATGAATATAGTTCCTCGGATATTCTTTATATTTTCCTAACAAATGCATCTATGTTGGTCTCCTAGCTTTGCATCAAAACTTTGATTTACATGCACCATTTGTGTTGCACACAGACTTCCATCATTATTGGCATTTTCATCTTTTCAGGTATGAAGGATTCTAAATTCCAGCTATGACAGGCTGATATCAGAGTGATCTTTGATTTTAACCTTGGAATACTTTGTACAGTAAAAACTGAAGAGGATTTCTCAACTAGATTAGCCAAGAAATTAGAGGATCTTATCATTAAAGCGGGACCAGAAACTGTGAGCAAATCTACTATAGGCTCACTCTCGTCTTGGACCAGTGAGTGCTGTGGTTTTAGACTTTTTTCGGTTGGCTTTTGGCTGAAAATTGACTTGAATCTTCTGTTTGATAGTTGATTAGTTAAATATTGGGTTTCGCTTTTATGATTGACATTGAAGTAAATTTCATAACTTTTTCCTCTATTCATTTGATTTTTCAGAATGATAACTGCGGTTTCATGGATACCAAAAGGGGCTTCAAAATCCATGCATGCTGATACTGAGCCTCTTTATAAGGAGTGAGCTGATCGAGAATGGCACTCTCAAGAAAAGGTGATTTTTTCCACTTCCTGTTTCTGTTGGACTTTTTCTAAATCTCCCTTTGATTTGTGGTTACATGTACAGCATATGCTATCTGAATAACATGGATGACGACAACGATGGGATGGAGCGTGAAATACATAGTGGTGAAATTGCTCATGCCAGGGCTGTAGCCAAGTCCGTTGGAAAACCATGTTCCAAAAGCAAGGTTACAATTTCAAACACTGTAAATCCATCTGATTGTCATTGTTCTCTCATTCATCACAGCCAACTTAGTTTCTTTGTACCGGCAAGGTGACCGGGATTTGAACCGATAATGGATGGTGTTATATTTCATGCACAAAATGCTCAAAGAAGCTATTGTGAGGGGTATCTTCCTTCTCATCTCATGCATCGCATGTGAGGATACCAACATTGTCGGTGTCGTCAGGTTACAAACATATTAGTGAACTTCTCGAATTTCTTAGTTGCTAAATTCACCAAACGGAAAGGACGAGAGTAAACTTAAGTTTATCTTTTCGTTCCAGGTTTCCTCTTTTTTTTTTTGTGAACCCATTCTAAGGCATATACACATGTAAATATGTTTTCATTGTATATATGATCATACAGACATTTGTTATTTATTATTCTGATCAGTGTTTTAACATTATTAC